ACCCTGTATCTGGGGAAACTACCAAACACAACAACCTCAAGCAACAAAGCAAAGCAGCAGGTGCTTCAACAGACCAGCCAGAACCGTCGAGCTGAAGAGTTTGCTGAGTCCCCTGAACACCTGAAGTCAACCCGAACTAACCCTGAAACAAACTCTAAAGTTCAGTCTCCACAAAAAGAGTCCAACAGAACCGAGACGAGCCCCATTTACGTCACAGCCCAACTGGTGGGCCAACACATGGAAACAGACTGACACCAGAGACTACAGACACTGTGAGGCCGGTGCAGGGTCAGAACACCGTGGTTCCGACCCGCCTGTAACGATGTGACTCCACTCAGAGCACAAACTGTGGACTCTTCATTCAGCGACTACGTTGCCGTGAACACCGTTCCTCCAGCGTCTCCATACATGAAGAGATGCTTTGACATCCTGGTCAATGCATTTCTTCACCTCCTGGCAGAGCGCTACCTGCTGCTGTCATTAAGCACAGAGCTTCATCCGAGGCCCGATTAGCTTAGCTTAGCATCAAAACTGGAAACAGCCAGACTGGATCTCACCAAAGTCCTAAAAATCTGTCGACCAACACCAGTAATTCTCACTAATTACCGCGTTTTGTCTGCTGCGTCTGAGCTGTACACAAATGTTAAAACAATCAGTGGTTTTAGAGGGAATCAGTGTGAATATGTTTCACTGCCACATGTTCCCGTCTCTCCTGCCCTGTTCTCTGGGAAACTGGTTCAGATCACAGAACCAGTAGTAATCGTCTTTACGGTTATGCTTTGGTGAGCGAGATACAGTGCTGTGGTGGTTTAATTCAGTCACTGTGTTACTGGTAAATTTTTTAACAAACAATCGACAGAAGATGGAGGATGTTGTAAAGCACACACACATGATGATCTGCATTCCCCCAAAGGTGAACCAGTTCTTTACATTCTATCCTTGGGTCCAGCTCATTGGCGTACTTCTTCATGGCCTTCACTCCTACTGACCTCTTGCTGCTTGACGAGGGCCTAATTAGTGCAGATTTTCAGCCGAGCACCCGAACATTAAGGGCAGACCCATGTATCGACACAGCACAGTCTATAAGTCTTTCTGTGGACACCGCTGCCTCCTTCCTGAGTGCCAGCTTCGTAATTGAGGCTGTGGGCCGAGGTGAACTTGGAAGGTGGTCTGGCTGCGCTGCTGGTTGGCTGCGCTGAGCCATCAAGCCTCTCCGTGAGCCAAGTATCCATCAGTCTGGCAACATGCTAAATCCCCCAGAGCGCACACTGTCCCTGCTCCCAGTCTCCAGCCTTTCATTACCACATCCATTCCCTCAGTCGGTGTGTTTCCATCCCCCCACGTGTGAAACCGCATCAGACCTGCAGCTAAAATATTGCTCCCTGTCTGTGCCGTTGTTGTTGTTGTTGTTGTTGTTGTTGTTGTTGTTGTTGTTGTTGATGGCGGTGCTGAAACGGTGTCAGTCTGGCCTCTCTCTCTCTCTCTCTCTCTCTCATGCTCTTTCTTCGCTCCTTCTGTCTCTTTCAGCCTCTTTCTAAAGCCGACTCGCACACAAAGACGTTCTCTACTTCTATGAATCAGCCGTGGTGTGTCTGGGGGCAGAAATCCTTCCCTATTCTTTCAGAGATTCGATAGGGGGGCTGTGTAATGAAATTCACCATTACACCGACGGGAGCTCCGTTCCCAGCTCTCCTCCGTCCCTGTGAATGGGAGATGATTAGTATTCCTCCTCCATCCATCTCCTCATCCCCATTGGCCTCTGCGCCTTCCTCCTGCCTGCTACCTCTCTCACTCCAAACTGAATTACTCTCCAGCTACACTTCATCCCTTCCCCTCCCTTTCACACAAACACTGGTTTTTTTTAACTCTACGGTTTTTTCTGCTCGTCTTCTGTCTCGGTTCTCTCTCTCTCTCTCTCTCTCTCTCTTCTTGGCTCTGTGACTCTGACAAACTTTGACAGCAGTGAAAGTACAGCGCTGTTGTGAGCGTGTCTTCTCAAACCCTGTTCTCCTGCTCAGCTCGTTCCACGACCACAAGGATGACCTCCGTAAGCGCCTGTCCTACACCACCCACAAACTAGAGATGGTGGAAACAGAGTTCGACTCCACTCGGCAGTACCTGGAGACGGAGCTGCGGCGCGCCCAGGAGGAGCTGGAGAAGTTCACCGAGAAGCTACGCAGGTGTGTGCACGACTCCGTGGGCTGGCTGCCTGCTCACGTATGCATGCCGTGTCCACATTATCATATGTGTCACTCCACCCGGCAGGAAGAAACTCACCAAAGCATGCTGGGATGTCAAGGAAGTGTGACTTGCTCTGCTTTGTACACCTGCTCAGTCTCTACCTGTTGTGATGTTTGAATCGTGAGCTTCAGAGAGTTACAAAACCGGTTCGACTAATCCGTCGTCTGGGTCCAGTTTGAGAGCAGAATGTAAAGCAGGCTGTAGAACGGAGCGCTACTGCTTCAGCAAACTTCTAGAGAACGATTTCAAAGGAAATCCATCCTGAAGCTTGTTTATTATTCCTGCTTGACATCGCTGGAAGTAACAATTATGTTCTCAAAGTTTCCTTTTTATTTGGTTTCTGCATAATTTATGGAACAAAACACGCAGTCGGACTCAGGATGTAAACTTCCCAGCATGCATTTCACATCCTCGTTCCCTTCTGCTGCCGGCTCATGAGAACCAAGAAGAGAAACGACAGCAGAAACAGATGTGCTGAAAACGGCGAGTTGTGAAGAAGAAGGCAGGTCGGCTCGATCAGATAGCGTCGCCTCGCTTTGTGCAAAAACTCTAGAAAAACAAGTCACAAGTCGCTGTTCTGCTCTGGGGCACTGCTGCTGCATCCTGGGCTGAGCGCCGCTTGTGATTGGATGAAAGAAATAAAACACATGAGAGCAGATTAATGCTGAGCTGGAGTCAGACTGTTCCCAAGCATGACACAGCACAAATCCATCTGGCTCTGCAACACTACAGCACAGAGGCTCCATCAATACATCTGTTTGCCATGTTGTTTTATTAACCCTTAGAGGCCCGGCCCCAGAGGTCACACCGGCGTCATATACTCATATAAAACTAGAGCACGTATGGCGATGTCGTCTACTTCACTCTAAACTCTGTTTTTGTTTCATGTCGATGGACATAAAACCAGAGATATGATGATATGAAAAAAAACATGTAAATATAAGCGTATGGATTCTAGGCTGCAGATGTTCTTTCAACATCTTTGTTATTTTTGTGACGGACAAACTCACATCTGTAACCTATGGTCACATTTTCAACTTTCAAAATGCTTCGTTAAGCACGTTGGTGGTTTTTATTGTCATGAATAACACATTTCTTCAATCGGATTTTGTATTTTTTGTGTGTTTTTGAGCCCAAAATGTTAATACAGTTGATTAAAGTGAAAAAATAAGATTCAGATCATGTGGGTGACGTTGTGCTGAAGAAAAAGAGACCAAACATGAACATGTTTCTATGTGGTACATAAGACAGAAGTAAAAGTCTGCAAAAACCTCGAGACCTCTAAGGGTTAATGAAAACTGAAGCATATCGACCATTTGATCAACTGCTGCACGATACCTGCATCGTTTATGTACCAGCCATATAAAATCACTTCATATGTTGTAGGAATGGATCTCACCTGATTAAAAATGCTTCCATTTTATTCCTTTAAGTGCCGTCCTAAGCTCGCTGCAGCTCGATGTTCCAACTAATGAAGTCAACACCTACGTCTGAAAATACAATATTCAGGCTGTAGTTTGCCCTGAAGCACTGATGGTTTTATGGCGTTTTACGGACCTAGAATCAATTTTATCCAATCAGATGTTAAAGCGGCATGTCCGTCAGCACACCCTGAACACAGATGTTGTCGAGGACGTTGCGGTCCTCGATGGGGAAGCCAAACATCCCACACGCTAAATACGGAAGCGACTATCGCAGCTAGAAGTATAAAACAGTCGTGTGCTGGAGGTTCTCTTCCCTCCAACACGTTTGTCACAGGCCTGGTAGAAAAGCCAGCGTTTGCTTTATTCCTGCATCGTCACAATGAGCCGTGATGTCATTAAACAGTGATGCTGAGCCGCCTCGACGCCGTTCAGCTGCACAGGAAGGATCCAGCCGAGGCCTTTTCCAGCAATGTGCTCAGTCTGACTTCAGGGCAACACGCTGCTGAAATATAAACATTGTTTTGGCACCAACTTCAGAACGTCTTCGTGTTTTATTTAGTGGAGGAAAGCTTTCGCCCAGTAGCAAATATTAGCAGCCTTCAAGCTACGAGTTTCGATTCATGAGGACGATGATAACCTCGAATTATCTGCAAATACTGCAAACCTGGTAGTCAGACAGGACGGAGAGTTCTCTGTGGCCGAGATACAGATAAATCCGCCACATGGAGACCTGGAGGGAAGGCGGTAGGGTTCCTGGGCGTTTCCTGTCAAGCCCTCCATAAACCCCATTTCTTTGTGATAGGACTGGCAGAGCCCAGCGCTTCCCATATTTTGAACCATCTGACTGTTTGGTAGTTTGTTGGAAATCGCTGCACAGCAGGAACCTGAATCTTCCTCTAACAGAAGGTTTTACTGCAGCTGTTTGTTCTCCACCCTCCACATGAACATTTAAACTCCTCCTTCAGCATTTCAAGTCTCTTCTACACCTTAGTTTTATGATTTGTCTCCACTGCCCAAACTCTCCACGTCTGTCCTGGTTAATGGAGCCTCAAACGTTGTTCTATCAACGCTCTCTTCAGCCTGAGCGCTGATGCGTAAACGTAACGCTGAGCTGAACGGTGACGCCATGAAACCCGAGTTAACAAACAGAGAGTCGTGGTCCTGCTTCATTAGGCTCACTAATGCACTGGACGTCCAGCAAAGAGCAACCGTGACGACAGAATTAAAACAGAAAGGAGGAAGTGATGAAAAAGGCAACACAAAACCCATTTAAAGCCTCCGTTAGCCCGGAGCGTCACAGTAGCGGCCATGTTTACTGATTTCTGATCCTGAAATATTTATGCTTTTAAAACTTTGTTCCTGATCACATTCAGCTCCGAGTGTCTCCTGCTGTTGGTGTTTTAGCTCAACACATTCATATCCACAGTGATCTCCCAGTCTGAGTCAGAACCCAAAATATCCCACAAATCCCCTCCGAGATCCTCCGTCAGCGCGTCGATCCCCTAAATTATTTATTTCCAGTCTAATTTTATGTCGAGTTGCCGGTGCTTCGGTTTACGGACAGTAAAACGCTCTTCAGCCGTCATAAGTTGCGATTTGCATTTTTAACGGGGCGCAACTCTTCTCTGCTCCTCTCAGGATCCAGAACAGCTATGCAGCGCTCCAGAGGATCAACCAGGATCTGGAGGACAAGATGCACAGGACGGTAAGAACCCCGAGCCGGAGCGGTACCGATGCAGGAAAACCCAAACGTTTTACGTGGCACAAACAAGACAAAAGAAATAATTCTTACACAAAGACATTCATGGATTTAGTTTTTAACAGCGTTGGAGTCTCACACACACACACACGCGCGCGCACACACACACACACACACACACACACACACGCACACGCACACGCACACGCACACACACACACACACACACACACTGTTGTACACTGATTAGTCAAATAAATTGCCTATTTCATTTTATTAATCTATTTTTTCTTTCCTATGACTACTGTCATATTAATTATAATATCTGTTTGTCTCACAGCTTGTAGCTCTGGTAGTTATTTACTGATGGTGTAGCGACCTCCATACGGCTCTTATTGTTGCTGTTGTTGTTGTTGTTGTTGTTGTTGTTGTTGTTGTTGTCATGTTCTCTCCTTGGCTGGCCCGTCTCTTGTCCCCACATCCCCCCTCTACTTTATCTCTGGTCTTTAC